CGGAACACAATGTAATAGCCTCACTGCAGGTAGAATCTGAAGTCGAGTAAGTCCACGAACTGCCCAATCATAATTTCGACGATGAATAAATATAATAAGGCTATGTTTGGTAAAACTAGCTGATAGATATCATTAATTTTCGAGCTTATAGCTGAAAAGCTATCTTATATAATAAAAGTGTTTAAATTAGCCGATAAGCTAGCTGAAATAAAAATTCAAACAAGAAAAGCTACTTATGAAATAAGCTCGAGTCTTTTTAAAAAATTCGTATTATTTAAATAGCTGACCAAATAAGCTAAAATAAGCTATCAGCTAGCTTATTTGTTACCAAAAACACAGCCTAAACAAACACAAATACCTGCTTCCTTGCTCTAGAACGTGCTGCCGACTCCCGATTCTTCATCATTCTCCTTTGCCGCCTCTCAACAGCTGGCCCATCAGCCTTCCGCCTCCGCCGCTCGACCCTGCGCGGGCCCCCGCACCCGACTCCTCCAGCCACAAAATTAGTGGGCCCCACACTAAGCTGACAGTTAACATCTTCTTCACCAGTACCACCATTCTGCTGCCGCACGATCCCAGCCCGCACCAAGAAGTCCTCCAGCGTCATCTCGCCAAGTGTCAGCTGCCGATTGGCCGGTTCGTCCACAGCACAGTTGACCTCGTTGACTTTGTGGATTTCGGACCAGACCTCATCCACCGTTTTCCCGAACAGAGGCTCGGGCAGGGCTAGGGAGCCCTGCTTCAGCAGGAACTGTGCTGGGATGTTGCTCGTGGGCTGAACATAAGAGCTAAATTGGGCTTGGGATTGGGCCTGGGCCTGGGCCTGGGCCTCCTCGGCAGTCCAAATGCTGTTCAAGAATTCGTCCATGTTCATGGACCCGAAATTTTTGCCGCTACCATTGAGGGTGTTTTGGAGCTCGTCTAGAGTGAGGGAGTATATGGATGGCTGTCGGCCTATTACAGTATTGTCTTCATTAGGCATAGGCAGCTGCTTTTGTTGTTCTTGTTCTTGGTTTGTATTTTCGGAATTCATATTTTTGGATGTGAGAATTAATCTTGGAGGTGTTATTGAAGGATACTATTTCTGGCACCTGCAATTGATCAGCGAGCGCGATGAGATATTTTAAACTATTTGTGGATATTACCGTATTGAATGTAAAGCACCAAAAAAGTTTACATAGGAAACAATCTACCAGAGATTAAAAGGATGATATATAATGGGTTGACACTAACTAATACATGTCATCTATGGCTTGTGAAAATTTCTTCAAGACTTTGTTGTGTCACTAAAATAATTTTGTTAAAAAATAAGTTAATAGTTAGTACTGCATATACTTGGGAAGATCCAAAATAGTTACAGAAATATATATATATATATATATCAAACTCATGTCAAATTAATGCACAAGTTTTGCAAGATCCAAACATAGTAGCAACTAATTAATGCAAACAACTTACCAATCAGAAACTCCAGCAAATAAAACTGAGCTACCTAAAAAATTTACAGATCATGAGTTTTAATATTTAATCATCATATGAATATGATAATATGGTCAATTCCAAACATACTTGAAATATTAAAGACCTACCCTTTTACTTGATAAAATTCAATATTAACAACTGCAAACCACACTAAAACCAATCACAAAACTCCAGCCAAAAGAATGAAGCTTTTACCACTAGAACACTTGCACAAGTTTACAAAATACGACCAAAGTAAGCAAGAATCTTCAAATCAAGCTCTAAACAAGCTCATCCAAGATAGAAAAAGCAAAGCATAGATCACAATAATCCAGCTCCATATATATTTTTATCCTGCGAGAGAGAAAATAAATGGAATTATCAAACAATATTGTTGTTGTTGGGGGTGGTGAAAGATGTGGGCCCGGGGGCGTGTATAAAAAGGCCCAAAAATTTAACTGTGGCCCATAGAGATTGAGAGAGAAGGAACTTTTTGTTTTCAGATAATCTTTTCTGCATGGCTGCTGGACACGTACGGGACAAGTGTCCTCAGCCTAATTCGCAAGCAGTGCCGAGATTTTGAAGGCTTTACGCGTGTCCTTTCTAATATATTAAAACCCACGTGCGGAATTGGGCCGGCCCGATCGGGTGGACTGTATTGGGTTACCTTAACCTTGGGGTAAAGNGCACCCAATCGAATTTCAATTCTATTTTCTGACATGATGTGGCACCAAACTTGCACAATTGTTCCGAAACATGAATTAAAATAATTAAAAAAATAAAACAAACGAAAGGGATAAAAATTAGAGGTACATAAGTGAACGAGCCTTAGCCATTTTTTTCCAAATTGAACTAAAATCTGAGAACGACGAAAATTTTGTACACGACGAGCGCCAATATTATGAACTAATTTTATATTTTTTCTTTTATATATTGCATATTACTTCATATTAAATTATTTAATATATTTAAAAGTTCTAAACAACATATTTTTTTTTATAAAAAAAAATTACTTATTTGATTTCAGTTTAATAATAATGTTGTCAATAACCCGTACTTATAATAGATTTAATATTGGAATAAGAACAATAATAAAAAATTAATATTTTTTTTATTTTGAAAAATAATTATTTTTGAATTAATTAATGTTATACTTAAACTACAAATAATATGAAATATAGAAAGTATTTAATAGTTATTGTTTATAATGATAATGCAATAACAATGTGACATAACATTTTATGTCACTGTTATATGATAAAAAAAAAATGTACTGAATAATACTTTTGTAAGTTATAACTTATGTAGTAACTCATCTTTCTTAAAACTGGACCGGCCATTGAAGGGAGGGATCAAAGTACTGGCCAATGGTTAACAATATGGACTAGTGGTTTAATCAGTTAGACTGCTATTTAATTAAATAATATTTTTACATGTAGTGGTTTAAGCAATAAATTTCATATATAAAATCATCATTAATTAAATATTTAGACAATTTAAAATATCCCAATAGCTAGACAAATTGATATGATAATTTTTACATATTCAATATACACTGCAACCGATGAAACCAGACAACCACTGGGGTTCATTCCAAAGAACCAAACCAGTCAATTGACAGTTCCTAGTTTGACCGACCGATTCGGTCAAATTTAGAAAACAACGGTACCCACTATTATTTTTTAACTCTTTTCTTTTTATTAATTTATACAATTTNAAAAAAAGCTTAATCAATTGCATTTTGCATTTATTAAACATATAATAATTTGAAATTGAGAAATCGTTGTATAATTATTGATTGTAGATGATAAGATGTGAAAAATGATAAGATACTCGATATTTATTTACTGCAAATATAAATATTTTATTTGAGCCATGAACATGCTACGTCCCAATTTTAAACGTTCTGTGTAAAAGTTCTCTGCAAACAACACACCACACCGTATAAAATTCAGCATTGGGACGAAACTTCTGAAATGGACATAAGTACCAAATACAAATACAGGCAAAACAAAAACGAAACAAAAGCCCTTTCAAGCTACAAGCGCTTCTACAACCGAATCTGCTCTCCCATCAGCCAACAGAAACATATGACCTGCGCCCGCCAGCTCATGATAATGAATCCATGGCAGCTTTTCAGCAATGTAACGTTGTAGTGAAACCGGAACTAAACGGTCTTCATCCCCTTGCCACAAGTGAACCGAACCTTCACCATTCGGAAATGGATTCTCGATATCCGTTGGATCAAATTCCCATTTTCCGAACCCGATCATCGTATCACGATGAAGGCTCTCAAACTCCCCCTGCTGAGTTGGCACCTCCTGAAAACAAATAAGCAAAAAAAAAAAAAAAATGTAAGTTTATACAAGTGATGTGTTAATTTGTGAGTTTGGTAATTGAAAATTTAGAATTTCATTGGACTTTTGTTAAAATTTTCAAATATTCATCTGGCTTCGTTTGATTTTCGGCTGAGTCCAGCTCTTATGATTCGGTAAAAGCCACACATCCACCAATTAGAGTACGATTTTGTTCCTCCGAAAAAAAATTGGCACACTTGCTTTGCATGTCAAATGGTGGCCAATTTGAATGTCACTAGGTTGATCTTAAAGAAAACACTTAAAAAGAACCTGATATTCTTTTTTTATGGAAATTAGTCTTGGAAGCAGTTCCTTGTCTTGATCCGAAAAATTTATGAGGTCCCCAGCAATAACACTCGAAACAGGGAAAAATCTTTGGGTGTTCCACCAGTAAGTAAGCCATGGCAAGTAATGAGCTACACGTAGGGCCCACTGGTCTTGCTTCGGCTGCAACAAATACGCAGGTCGAGAAAGGTTAGAAGGAAATGCAAGCCACCAATAATTGACAACTGGCGCAATCAGAGCTGCTCCTGCTAATCTGTTCATCATATAATAGTGTCAATGTCAGCTTACACGGACGAAAATAGCAATTTATGACTAAAATATGCAGCAATAGCTGCCTTCAACAAAAGGGCAGCTTATTAGAAGTAAAGTTCAAGTAAATGCATGTGAAATGATAAAGAATTAATTTTCCAAGAGTAACATGACCACAACCTATGAGGAATATATTTGAGGCAGCTCCATACAATCTGTCCGCCCATGGAAAATCCAATGACATAAAATTTGGATCCTAAACTCAATTGATCTGCAAGCTCTTCAATATCCAAAGCCAAGCTCTTGACTGTTCGTGTAGGGTGAGGATCACTCTCGCCATAACCAGGCCTATCAAACGAGATGATGCTGATTCCATCATTTTCAACTATATCCTGTAAATGTTGACAAAATT